GGGTATATTAAGTTAAATAATAATTTTTAAAATATATAATTTAATTTAAAAAATAGGAAAACACACACACACATACCCCTAGAACTCCATCATGGGAAAACGTCAGCAAGAGAGAGAAACCATTCCACTACCCCCACCACAGGCTTTTCTGGGGCCCTCCTTTCAGGTTTTTTTCTGCACACAGTCCCTTGGGATCCACTAGATAAAGGGGTCCCAGGGGTTGCAGAGAGAAGTCCCCAACACATAATTACATTTCAGAGGCGCTGACATAGCTCATGCAGAGGACAGAGAATTTGGGCTAAAACAAAACGGTTCTTCTATGTGTAGCATTCATTCACGTATTCCACAAATAAACCTAGAGAACCTCCTCCCCCATGGGGCCTGGACCTGATGCTGCCGCTCAGCAGCCACCTAGGAGTGAAGTCTCCAACTTTGAAGTGTCAGTTGCTGGCAGCCAGATGACACCTTGAGGATGAAACAGGGATGTCAGGCCATGGCAAGAGGCACAGAGGAGACAGTGGCCCCGGCTACTTTAGACGGGCAGTCAGGGAGGGCCTCCCCAAGAGCGCAATACCATGGAGGCAGGGACCCGCCAAGAGCCCTGAGGCCAGATCTGCTTGTAGGTCAGCAAGACAGGGGGACCGGGGAGGAGAACATGGAGAGGTGCCAGATTTGAAATGGCCCGGAAGGCCACAGGCAGATCATCAGACTTCATCTTAAACATGCTGGAAAGCCAGGCAGAGATTTCGAGGAAATTACTAAAAACATACTCTGACATCTGCATGTGAGTGCATTAAATCAAGGCCAAGCGTGAAACGCTACTTACTGAGAATGTTCTTTTTTTTTTTTTTTTTTTTTTTTTTTTTTTTGTATTTTTAGTAGAGACAAGGTTTCACCATGCTGGCCAGGCTGTTTTCGAACTCCTGGTGTCAAGTGATCCGCTGGCCTCGGCCTCCCAAAGCACTGGGATTACAAGCATGGGCCACCACACCCGGCCTCTTCCTTCTTTCTGCTTTTAAAATTGTTGTGATCTATGATGCTACTTTCATAATGTAAAACACAAAGGCTCAGTACTTTATTTTTTGTGGAGACAAGGGTCTCCATGTGGCCCAGGCTGGTCTGGAATTCCTGGGCTCAAGCCATCCTCCTGCCTCGGCCTCCCAAAGCTCTGGGATTACAGGCATGAGCCACCACACCTGGTCTGCACTTTATTTTTGGAAAAGGTCTCCTTGGTGCACATGAAACGGCCTCAGAGCAGGGAGCTGCAGCCATGCAATCCAGGCTGTGGGTGTACATTCTCCCACCTGGTTTCCCTGCCTGTCTCAGACACTTTAGTGACATCTACCCTGAGAGGATGAGGCCCCCTGCCAGGCCCTGGCTCTGCCCTCCCATGGGGCTTCCCAGGTACCAGCAGCAACCCAGTCACCCAAAGAGGGAAGAGCTTCACTCCCAAGAAACGGCAGGAGGGGCCGCAACCGCCTCCTCTCACACACTTGCCCTTCAGTGAGTCCAGACTGTCTTCATCACAAAACCAGAGAGAAGCCTTCACTTTTAACTTCTTTTTTAACATCCCAGGAAATTGTTTAAAAATCACGAAGAAAATAGAAAAATTCCACTTTAATTAAACTGTTCAGTCTGGATTTTTTTTCCCCTGACACTAACTGAAATTAAAAATAGAAATCAATTTCTACAACCTTTCAAGGCAGTCTTTGAAACGTCAAGGTTTTAAAGATTATTTTACAGCAGGAATTTACATATAAATACACTCTGTACAATGCGTTAACTGAACAATCACTGGGCTTCCATCATGGAGGAGAAATGATTCTAGGATGAGCCAGTGCAGCATTCAATTACTGCCTTCTTAGCGGAAGGCTTTTCAGCCTGGAAAAGAAAACAGAAAAGAAAGAAGTGGAAAGTTAGCTACAAGTGAAAAACCAAACAGCTCTGTGAAGGCTGAGAATGCCAGGCCTCCCCAAATCACAGCAGCATGTCTGCACCGATAAAATGCACTCACAATAACCCACAATGAAGTACTGCCTCATCTGTGCTTTTTTTTTCCCCCCCTCCGCCGAGATGGAGTTTCACTCTTGTTGCCAAGGCTGGAGTACAGTGGTACAATCTCAGCTCGCTGCAACCTCTGCCTCCCGGGTTTAAGTGAGTCTCCTGCCTCCGCCTCCAGAGTAGCTGGGATTACAGGCGCACACCACCACGCCCAGCTAATTTTTGTATTTTTAGTACAGACGGGGTTTCACCATGTTGGCCAGGCTTGTCTCGAACTCCTGACCTCGTGATCTGCCCTCCTCAACCTCCCAAAGTGCTGGGATTACAGGCATGAGCCACCGCACCCGGCCAATCTGTGTTCTTAAAATGCTTCTTCTATTACCCTGAAAACACAGATAGACTCACTCACCCACACCTCGTATTAAGACCATTTATAAAAGCAACTTGTTTCCCTAGTCTTATTTAGCCTTGAGAATACAAGCAATTTTTAATTTCAGTTTCACTCACCTACCGCATCTGTTGCATGACCCTTGAGAAGGAACTAAAATATATTCACTCCAGGGCCCAAAGTATCCACGTTGTCCTTTTTTTTTTTTTTTTTAATTTTTTTATAGAGGCAAGGTCTCCCTATGTTGTCTGAGCTGGTCTCGAACTCCTGGGCTCAAGCAATCTTCCCATCTTGGCCTCCCAAGGTGCTGGGATTACAGGCATGAGCCACCATGCCCAGCCCCCAAGTTGTCAATCTTAAAAATGAATTTTTTTTTTTTTTGAGACGGAGTCTCTGTCACCACCCAGGCTGGAGTATGGTGGCACGATCTCGGTTCACTGCAGGTCCACCTCCCAGGTTCAAGCGATTCTCCTGCCTCAACCTCCTGAGTAGCTGGGACTACAGGCGTGTGCTCCCATGCCCGGCTAGTTTTTTTAGTAGAGACAGGTTTGGGGTTTCACCATGTTAACCAGGATGGTCTCAATCTCCTGACCTCATGATCTGCCCGCCTTGGCCTCCCAGAGTGCTGGGATTATAGACGTGAGCCACCACACCCGGCCTAAATCTGAATTTCATACATATAGGAATGTTCGTGGCAGTTCTATGTGAAACAGAGCTGAATCACACTGGCTGCAGATCCCTGCTCCACAGCCTCAAAGTAGAAAACCCAGTATCCACACAACAGAAGAGATAAACACACTGTGGTGTGTTCACAAGAAGGACTCTTCCACAGCAGTGACTACAAGCCCCTCACTGCAGCCTACGATCATCTGAAGGAATCTCAGAAGCCAGACGCTCAAAGAGTTCACACAACACCCTTCTTCCAAATAAAGATGAAATTGGCAAGAGTAGTCTGGTGCAGTGGCTCACGTCTGAGCCTGAGGCAGGAGGATCACTTGAGGCCAGGAGTTTGAGACTAGTCTGGGCAACATAGGAGATTTCATCTCTACAAAAAAGACTTTTTTTTTTTTTTTTTTTCTGAGACGGAGTCTCGCTCTGTCACTCAGGCTGGAGTGCAGTGGCACGATCTTGGCTCACTGCAAGCTCTGCCTCCCGGGTTCACACCATTCTCCTGCCTCAGCCTCCTGAGTAGCTGGGACTACAGGCGCCCGCCACTACACCTGGCTAATTTTTTTTGTTTTTGTTTTTTTGAGACAGAGTCTTGCTCTGTCACCCAGGCTGGAGTGCAGTGGC